AATTCACTGTTCCTCTGGGTCTACTGCTTGTGCTTCATTTGTTGGTGTCATATTTTTCTGTTCTTTCTTGATCTTTGAGTCTTTATGTTGATGCTGGGGCATTTGAGGACACTGCTACCTCTTCTAGGTTTATAGGTTTTCTTTGGTGGTGTGGTGTTTGACCTTTATTGGTTAACATAAGAGCTTTGTCTCTGGTCTGTGGTTTCAGGTTCAGTTCATTCCAAAGTTGGAGAAACTTCCTGTTGGGATCAGCACTTGAGCTCTGTGGTTGCACTAAATTGTTGCTTTGCTGCTGATTCTCTGGGGAAGGCTTTTTGTGAAGACTGGATTTTAATTTTGGCCTTTTAATCACTTATGGGTCTTGTGAGGTCAGACACACCTGGACTGTGTGGAAATTCTGGCCTGGGATTGAGTCTTCCAAGTAAACTGCACCCCCTGAAGTTCTGTCTCCCTGACCAGTCTCCACTGAGTGGGCCTTTGCCAGTTGGGAGGCAGATCAGCTATCCACGCTGCACTCCTACGTTGTCCTGGCAGGCCAGCCTCTCTCACTCCAGATGCTTCCTGTGGGGTGGGCCGTGTGTGGATATGTCACAATGACTCATTGGCCTCTGGGTGGTTCCCTTCTTCAGTCCCTTGGGGACCCTTGCTCCTATGTGGATTCATGGGAACTCTGTGAGAGGTCTTGCTGACCTGGGGGTAGGTATGGTGCACTCCGAGACCCTCTTTTCCCCTGCGGACTCCAGGAAACCTCACGCAGAGAGCTCAGCTGTGGCTTTTGCTGGCTTCTGCTCTGTATGTGATAAAGCTTCTTCCTGCCTCTCACAGGACAGCCGTGAAGTGGCCAGGGCTTGAAACAGCTGGAGTGGTTTCTTCTGTCTTCCTCTCACTGTGACTTCTGCTTTTCCCCTGTGAGCTTGCATGCGTGGGTGTGCCACACGCTCAGTCTCACTCACTCTGCCTCACCCTTGTCTATCCCTCTTTCCTCTCACTTAAGCAACTCTTCCTCTTCCCCCAGTCACCTTGTTCAAATTCTTGATTAAAATGGCAAGACTAGTGAGCCAGCACTGTTTGTCCACCAGGGCCACACTTACCTGTCCTAAGTTTACATATTGTAGCTAGGCCAGTGTTTCTCAAACATCTCTGACCAGAAGTACATTTTATGTACGTGTGCATGTGAGTATATGCATACACACACAGGTGTGCACACATACACTTATACTACACACAGACACGCACACATGATTAAACATATTTCATCAAAGAATGCTCACAGTGGTACCTTTCTTATCCGCAGTTTTGCTTTCTGCACTGTCAGTTACACTCGGTGCAGTACAATAAGGTATTCTGAGAGAGATACCCCCAGACCACATTCATATAACTTTTATTACAGTATATTGTTATAACTGTTCTATTAGTAGTTATTGTTGTTAATCTTTTACTGTGCCTAATTTATAAAGTAAACTTTATTGTAGGTATGTATATATAGGAAAAAACATTAAATTTGAGGGTACTTCAAAAAATTCATGGAAGATAGAATTAAAAGATAATATGAATCTTTCCATGAAAATTTTAAAGCCCGCTTGTATAGGGTTTGGTACTACCCATGGTTTCAGGTATCCCCTGGGGGTCTTGGAATGTGTCTCCTGCAGATAAGGGGGGACTACTGTATTTTCATTATGTGCAGTCCATGTACACTGTGCTATTTAAAAAACGGTGTTTCTGACCCAAAACTGATTTTACAATCCCTGCTGTTTCATGACCAAAAGTTTGAAAAACTTTGAGCTAAAGCAATATTGTTATCAGGAGGAAAGAAAAGAAAATATTGCATGACCTCCATTTAAAAGCACCACCCATTGTTAGATGCTTCATGAACTTAATAACCACTTTTTAGAAGAAAAGTAATACCATGCTCTCTAAGTGTACATCGTGCATGTAAAACACATCCCCAGTTCAGAAGTGTTAAAATGTGGGAATGTTTGTGTTGTAGAGTGAGAGACGTTACTCACTTTGTGCTGGGCACTGTTCTCTGTGGAATACATGGTGGGTCTCATTGAGTTCTTGACTACTCTCTCACAGTACAGGTGATTATGGATTAGAGCAAACAAGTCACTTTCCCCAGAATACAAAACTAAGAAGCAGCAGGACTCCTTGCCTGACTCTACAGCCCGACTTGTAGTGCTGCTCTGCCCCACCCGGTCTCATCCTGTGGTTGAAGTGTCCAGTCCTGGCTTTTCCACTAGCCAGCCTCATGTGAATATGTATATTCACTCAGCAGATATGCACCTACTAGTGTTTTTTGTAAGCCAGACCCTGGGAAAACATGGCTTGCCATTTCTGCCCAGTGGGAGGGTCCAGTCAGGGAGAAAAGAGACTTAAGCAGGCCAGCCTGACATGGTGGGATGGTTCCCTGTTGTGCAGCTCTGAGCAGGGAGCAGCGGGCACGGAGGGGAAGGAAGTTTCTCAGGAGAGCCCGTGCTGGGCTCACTCTGCAAGTCGGTGAGCTAGTGTTGTCCGTGAGAAGCTGTGAAACTTTCTGGGCCTCAGACTCCTTATCTGTAAAAGGTCATAGGGATTTGCCAATGTAACCTCCCTCTCACCTTTACAAATAAGGAATCTGAGTGGCGTCTATGATCTTTCCTTAACAGTTTATCTGCATCATGTGCTCCGCCCCCCCGCCCCCCAGCTAGAAACAAATCCTCCATCCCCTTCTGTTTCAATGCTTGTGTTACCTTTTGAACTGCCCATTACAGTTCAGTTTCCTGTTAGAGGTAGAGCTCTGGTCCTGAGCTCTTAGGAGCCACTGACAGGCACAAAACTCCATGAGGAATCAGATCTTGCCTTTGTCACCTCTAGTGTCTTACTAGTTGGGCACTTTCTCCCCTGAAAGGATCTTTTCTTATGGTTTTCTAATATCAGAATTGCTTTTTAAATACAGTAAAAGCAGACAATTTCCTTCATGGAAAGAAGTAAGCCACCCATAGTATTAATTGAGAACAGGATCAGAAATAAGGATAATAAGGAAGGGCGAAGGATTTGGAAATGAAAGACACCAAAAAGAGAAGAGAAAAACAGATGGTCTTGGAGAGGAGAGAACTCTTTTTATTCAGAGGTGTCATCTGTATACAAATACTGCCTCCACCTTGTGAAATTCTGGTCTGGTGCCTCTAGCTCTGCCCTCGTGATTAAGCATGACAGCCATAACCTTTCTTTCTCACTGTTCACTATCTGTTCTGTGTAACAGTTCCCCCCCCCCCAAATTAGCAACATGAAACAATCAGTATTTATTGTCTCAAAAAAATTTGCTGCCTTCACACTTTTAAACTATAAACTTTAGAGAGTTAGTTTAGCTTTCATTTGCAATTTCAGTTCAAGGTATCGAAAAGTAAAATACTAGATGGAACATGTGTGTTGGTGTATTCATTCCCTTCCACTCGTTTGTAGAATCCAAGCTTGCACTAAGATCTGCTGTCAGTGACTGTCCCCACAATGGATCCCAGTTTCCCATCTCACTTACCTGCCCTGCAGGATGCTCCAGCCCTGATTTCAGGGCCTCAGGGAGGAGAGCCTGACAAATGCCATCCCCTGTAGTGAGTGCTGGTGGCATTCATGAACAACAAGTGATGGCTCGTGCCTGTAAATTGCCAAAGCACAGTAAACTGTAAGCTCATTAGCAGCACATTTCAGTACGTTCCAGTGCATTGACCTGGGCAAAGAAAGGATGCTCCTGAAGGTTGGGTAGAAGTTTCTCAGGCTTCTCTCCTGCCCTTCCCTCTCCCCTCCCCTTTTTCCCCCTCTTCTCCCTTCTTCTCTCCTCTTCTCTTCCTTTATTTTTGGAAATGCTCCCCATCAGGTTGCATTCTTTTTTTTTTTTTCCCTTTTTGTCTTTTTTTACTGACCGGTAACAGGATCGCAACCCTCAGTGTTGCACCCACACCGCACTCAGCCAGTGAGCGGGAACCGGTCTCCACATGGGATCCGAACCCTCGGTGGGAGCGCCGCCACAATCCCAAGCGGCGAACTCTCCAGTGCGCCACCGGGCCGGCCCAGGTTGCATTCTTTTTAACAGTCTGCTGCTGTGTAAGCATATCATTCAATGAGTCTGTCACACTTGGTACAATGCTGCTAATTAGAATTTCTAATATTTAAACCACAGGAAGTACAACAGTCACTTTTTTAATCAGTGGCATTGGGTTAAACCTGAAGAACCCTAGGATAAAGTTAAATTATATGACTCGAAATGAACTGATCCCAGGCAAGCCAATGCCTTGTGATGCTTTATGATTGCTGTGCTCCAGCTCAGATACTGGCATCTTCAGTTTTTAGCCTTACTTTTGTTTCTTAAACATATCATAAAATCTCCAGCCGGAATGGAGTCAGTCACCACAAGAGGAAAAGGAAAGTGGCTCGTCAAGTAGATGTTCCCAGCAGACGTGAGATTTCAAAGTCCAGCATCTTCCATACATACGTGGTAAAGTTCTGTGTTTCAGAGTAGGGAATTAGGGGCATGTAAGAGGCTTCTGTTTCATCCAAATCATTTGGAATTAGCTCATGACTTTATTAAAACAATCCTTTTTTTGTTGCATTTATTTTTAACAAGTGAGGATATTTTGGCAAATTAGAAAATTCAAAGATTAAATCAGAAATATTGACTACTGACTGCCTGTGGCAGTTAAGTTGCCTTAAAAAGGTTGAAATTACTAATGGTTTGGAATGTGAAATTAAAAACTGATCTTCTTTTAGTTCTTTCCACCATTCTCACTTGGCTTTGAAAACTGCTGCTCTTACAGAAAGGGAATTGACCACACAGGAGCTAAGCAGAAGTGACTCCGAACCCACAGGAAAAGAACCCACAAAGTTGTGTTTCACACATTCCTGGATGCTTGTTCTGTGAATTTAGTAGTTTGAGGTTTTCCTAGATGTACTGTTTTAAGATTTTTTATCCTGATCATCTTTTCTTTCTATTTATTAAAACCTACTTATTCTATTTTTCCTCTTTGCAGATGAAAGCCAAACAATTCTAATATGGTGCTTATGTTGTTTGATTAACAAAGAACCGCAGAATGCAAGAGAATCAAAACTTAACTCCTGGACACAGGTAAGAGAGTAAGTCTTGCTGTGCACTGATTTGACTTAAATGGATGATTTAAAGGTGCTGCTTTTTTTTTTTTTTTTTCTTTTTCGGTCTAGTTCTATGATGTTTTAGGAACTTTTTGAACACACTCTTCACCATTACATTATCTGGTTTCTGTAAAGTTATTCAAGAGATTTCAATGTTGCTTGATTGGTAGTTCCAAAAGATTACCAGTCCGTAAGGTGACCTTTCCGTGCCTGCAACCTAATGTTGAGTGGTTTTGAAAAGCTACTTTCAGATACTTAAAAGGATGTACTCCATTTCCTTCTAACAATTGCTATCCTTCAAAAAATTGTCTCTTTCTTCCAGTCTAGTTTAAGTACTTACATATACTTCTGTGTCTCTCTCAGAACCGATTCTGTAGTAAAACTGCAATTCAGAAGTGCCCAGGAGCAGCGCTCTTCAATTTATGTCCTAAAGCTGGGGCCGGGCCAGGATGCTCACAGAGCAGTCCTGGGTGCTGCTCGGCTGCTGCTGCCCACACCGTCAAGCGGATGACCCCTTGCGCTAGTGCAGACAGCTGACAGCTTCCTGGGCTTGCCCCTGCCTGTTTCTGCTTCCTCGTGAAGGACAGCCATAAGTGGTAGAGGCTCTTGAGGCTGGCCTGCGGCTGTGCTTGCCACCAGCACGGTGGCCGCTCTTTTCTGTTGCCCCCGCTGTCCTGCTTCAGCAAGCCCAGGACTTGCTGGTGCCCGTCAACCTCCGCTCAGTATGCATATGGTTCGGATTAGCTGCTTAGCATTATGAAGTCACCGGTCAGGCTGATGCATGTGGTTTTGTCTATCATTACATCCGCTGCTTTTTAAGACTCCTTTGTTGTAGACAAAATTGCTAACACAGACGACAAAGACAGTATTTGCATTTTTCTGTTAGACTGAAGGAAGCACGAGAAGGGACAGTAGAAGTGAAAGGGACTGGGCGAGGGAAGGGAGGATTACAAGTGTTACCTGGAAGGAGAGTGGCTGTAAGGGCTGGAGAAAGGAGCTGACAGGTAGAACTGGGGAGGAAAGGGTGGTAAAAACAAGGCTGTAGAACTACAGTGATGCACTTAGCCTTTAATTTTTAAAAAATTGTTGGGCCAAGCCCGTGGCGCACTCGGGAGGGTGCAGCACTGGGAGCACAGCAGCGCTCCCGCCGCGGGTTCGGATCCTATATAGGGATGACCGGTGCACTCACAGCGCTCACTGGCTGAGCGTGGTGTGGCCGGTCTCAAAAAAAAAAGGACAAAAAAAAAAAAATTGTTGCTTTAATTGAGTATTTGATATTTTTATGACTATTTAGCATATAATTTTGTACTGGCTAGCTCATTAAGTCCTGCAATAGGCCATCTAATAAAGTGTTTTTTAAGGTGATTGGGTTAACTTTTCATTTAGCTCATGACTTTATTAGCCTATTTAAAAATTTCTAGACTCACGTTTTATTCTGTGGTTTTCTGCTGTTTAATACTGTGTCCATTTATTAATAGGTGCTTATTCTTACCTCCAGGAAATTCACAGAGTGGTAGCTGGGTCACTCCAGGGCAGTGTCGTTGGGTTGTTGGTAGACCTGTGTATCGGAGTGGCAGTGACACACAGGGCACACTTGCTCACACTTGGGTTTGCAGACATTTCACAGGGGAGGTGGTATATTAGCTGAGTTCCGATGGCAGGCAGGAGAGCAAGGTTAGAGGTAAGGGGAACATCCGCCAGCAGAAAAAGAACCTGTGAAGCGTGGTGGTGAGGACCAAGTGTTGTGTTGTGGGATCTGTAGGTGCTCGGACAGGCCTGGAGCTGGGCTTCTGTGGGGTTGGTGAGGACATGGGAAGCTGGAGAGACAGGCAGACACCAAGCCTCATGAGTGATTGTAAGAATTCTCATTTTATCTTGAAGGCACAAGGGAATCCACCAGGTTATTTAAACAGAGAAATCATATGGATGGATGTGAGGTGTAGAGATTAACAGCAAAAGGAAATTTGGAAAAAGGAAGTTTGGAAGAGGCAAAGACGGCACTTTTGGAAGCTATTGTAGTGATAAAGGCGAGAGATCAGGAGGGCCTGCAGGAGGTGGAAAAGAGGGGCCAGACTTGTAAGATATTAATAAGGTAAATATCCAAAAGATGTAATGGCAGATGCAGTGCAGATGTACTTAGGTGGAGATGTACAGAGAACATACCATTCTCAGGAGAGCAAGCTGAGTTTCTGAGAGAGCGTGAGAGGCAGCAGCCTGTGGGAACAAGCGGAAGCCTTGGGTGACGTGAGACCACCCAGACAGCGCCTAGAGTGGGGTGCAGGGACTGCAGAGAGCCTGCGGAGACAGTGGTGTTCAGGGAAGTGGAAGAGGCAGAATGAAAGGACTCGTGCTAGGAGTGCAGGGATCACAGCAGCACGGCTCCGAGGAGAGCGAGTGGCCGTTCACGTCCAGTGCTGCGCTGCGGCTCTTCCCAGCACAAGTAAACCAGAGTGCAAAGCTTCCTACCAGCCGCTTTACGAGACGTAAAAAGAAATAGTTAAACTTGATTTTAAGAAGATACTTTATTTAACCCAACATATCCATAATATCATCATTTCAACACATAATCAGTATAAGAATTATTACTCAGTTTATTTTATCATCTTTTTTATACTGTATCTTTGAAATCTAGTGTGTATGTTACACTTACATCTACATGTTATGTCTTAATTCAGATGCTAAATTTTCACCAGAAATTCTCGATCTGTATTATAAAGTTCACAGTTGAGAAAGTAGATTCATAAACCCATATTCTTCCCAAGAAGCATGCAACTGAGTCAAGTGTCAGTTTTTTTAAATTTAAAATTTAATTAAAATTAAATAAAAAATGGAATATTTCTGCCGTGCTTACTGCGCTGATGTGCTAGGTGGCCACTTGTGGTGCATGATCACCGTTCTAGATGGGGCAGCAGTAGAGCACGAAGCAGAAGGGACAAAACGCACTGCTTGGGCTTAGCTGCTGGAGGGAAGACCCTGCTGAGAATAGTTTTTTGCGAGGTGGAGGGAAATAGCTGGATTGCTACGGAGTGAGGGATGATGGAGAGATGAGGAAGCAGAAACTATTAACTTCAGTCACTCTTTCAAGAAATTTGGCAGTGAAGGAGGGAGAGAGAAGGCGGTAGCCAGAGTGGGTTGGCTGGAGCTGAGGACGTCCTGAATGTGCTTTCCTCTGACTCATCGGAGCAGTCGAGGACATGGGAGTTTTCCTCCTTATTGTACTGGGCAAGCCTGGACTCAATGATATTAACTGATGAAAAGATGTGCAGGGATATATGAATTATTTAATTCTTAGCAACCTAAAGCAAATTGCATGTACCTTTAGCAAATCAGTACTTATAAAATCTTCTTATGTTGGCCATAAATGCAGCAAAACAGAAGGTAGTTGTTGGTTTATAAATCATTTGTACATGTCTTAGGCATATTTTGTTTTATCTTAGAGGTGATATTTTCTCCATAAAAGTAGTAAAGTGACATATTATACATTAAAGATGTGTAACTTGTCATCTAGTATCCTTGTGAAAAATTATGTAACACCCATATTTTAATAATTTTAGTGCCTGCCATGTTCTAATGGTGGTAATAAAATCCTGGGTCATTCTGTGTTCCTGGAGCATCAAAAGTGTGAGTGAAATAGCCTGAATCAAAAACCAAGAATTTTTTTCTATAAATTATAAAATTCAGTAAAAATTCAGATTATTATTAAATTTGAAAATGTTAGAATGAGTTGGATATTTAGCACAGGGAAGACATAAAAATTCTGTTTGATGCATGGCAAATGTTAGCATATGTGATGTTAGAAGCACATTAATGAGTTTTTTTTTGGAGTTTCACTGATAAACATGCGTGTGCCATCAAATAGCACCACCTCAGTGGCTATTTTCACAGTTTAGAGACTGGTTAAGGTCACAGGACTCTTTTACACCTCTCTGGAATGTTTGGTTGTTGAAATACTTAGTTTTACTGGTGAATCCACGGAACAGATAACTTGTGAGTACCTTTTGTTTGCCAGGTACTATGACAGGAGCTGAGGATGCAGCGTTAGACCTAGAGAGATGGTCCGTTTCAGAGCTTCTAATCAGAAGGAGAGGTTTCCAGGGCTTGCCAATTTAGGGGATACCTGTCTTCTCTGGACAGGACCATACACCACTGTTATTTTTTACTCCGATGAGAAGAAAACAGCAGGATACCAGGAAAAGAGATCAAAAGGGTTGTATTTTTGTCTTCGTTCCCTTTCAAAACATAGTGCTAGGCTGTATCCAGATTGCTTCAGTCCTCTTCTTCACCCTTCCTTTTAAAAACATCTAAATTACAAAATGTAACAAACATGCACAAAAGTGCACAAAACATAAATGTCAAACTTAACAAATCGCTCCAAAATAAACACCCTCGTAGCTGCCCCACCAGGTCAGGAACCAGAGAGAACATTGCAGGGCTCTGAGACATTCCCTGCCCCGTGTCTGTCCCTTCCTGCTTATTATGGTCTCTGTTGGTCCCTTCTAGCAGTGACCACTAGCCTGGCTCTGATTCGCATCGCTTGGTCGTTTTACCACTTAATTATGCAGTTTGGCCTATTTCTTTTTTTAATTTGACAGAAATGGAATAATACAGTATGCATTTTTTGTGTTTGATTCATTTTGTTAAGTTCGTAAGATTCAACCATGTTGTTGGGCATGATTGTAGTTTGTTCATTTTAATTGCTATAGAGTATTCCATTTAATTAATATTCCAGATTTTCCTTATCCATTCTACTTGTGATGGAAAATTGTTTCCAGTTTTGAGGAATTAGGAACATTATTGTTTTGAACATTCTCTCACATATATCCAGGGTCCAAAGCATGTATTTTAAAAAGAAGTGAAATTTCAGGTTATGTGGCATGCACATCTTTAATTTTACTACCTCGTAGTAAATTGTTTTCCACAGTGGTGGTACCAATTTAAATTTCCATTGTCAATGTGTGAGGGTTCCATAGCCTCAGT